TAGTTAAAAATAGCTTCCTCCATTCCATGGACTTTTTTTCAAATAGATTGGAAAAAATAAATGACCATGTACAGCATTAAATGTTATGATAAAAATATTTATACCAGAGGCATCCTTCTTAAAGATAATTAGGACAGTGTCTATAGTCACCATCAAAGATGTAGCTACTAAAACAATTGTTAAGCCACATTCATTTTTTCAGAATAATTAGACATAGTTCCAGTGGTGGGATTCAGCCAGTTCGCACCTATTCGGAAGAACTGGTTGTTAACTTTCTAAGCAGTTTGGAGAATCGGTTGTTGGAAGAAATCTCCTTTTGGTTTTTTCCACTTTTACAGGGCTAATCCTGTAAGGAAGGCAGGAAGGAAACATTCCGGTGTTGCTTCTAGCCTAATCTTTATTGCCCTGCTTACAGAAACCATCTCTCTGGTTAACCCTTATTACATTGTAACAGCTAAGGCAAAATGTCCATTGACCTGAGTGATGTTGAGTTGGCCACACCCACATGATCACATGATCACCGAGCCACACCTACCCAGCTGGTCATTAGGGCAGAGAACTGATTGTTAAATTATTTGAATCCCACAACTGCATAGTTCCCCATATAAGGTCATAGCCAAAAAAACAGCATATGAACTTGCTTGGTGGTTTCCTGGGAGCTACAGTGATTGTAGGATGGTTCAGTTGCAACTTATCCTCTTTCCTGCAGCCCAATTCAGGAGGGCGAACAGATCCATCAGATATTAGTTATGAAAAAACAGAAGAATAGGAGAGACTGTATAAAGTATCCTATGGAATTAAGAATTGTATCATAAAGCTGTGGAGAGATAGACATAGAATGATGCTCCAGGAAATGCTCTTCGTTATTTCATCTATTACTTCTTCTTTTTTTTCTTTTGCAGGTGTGAGTCTGTTAGTGCCACATGGAGCAATTCCTCAGGGGAAGTTCTATGAAATGTATCTGATGATCAACAAAGCAGAGAATATTCTGTAAGTAGATCAGATCATGTATCTTGTCTTATTTTTTTACTCTGACCTCCCTAAGCCTAAAAGTGATATCCAATTAAAGGATATCCAGGTAAGGTTTCTTTTTATTATATTGTTTTAGAACAGACTTCCCCCATCTTCATACATGCATTTTCCTTCAAATATTAGCATACCAGACTAGATTCAAGGCAATCTTTCACATAAGTCTCAGTATTCAAAATAATCTTACTCAGTTCCAACTCCTAACAAAAGAAATTAAAAGTGCAGATAACCTACTGTATTTCTCGGAGTATAAGATGCACTGGACTATAAGACGCACCAAGATTTTGAAGAGGCAAATTTTTTTTAAAAAAGGTTTTGCACTCTGCAGACCTCCCAAAAGTGGCCCATTTTTCAAAAAATGGGCCCATTTTTGTCAAAGAAAGGGCATGAATAGACTTTAGGAGGCTTGTAGAGTGCTCTGGGGTGCTGGGGGGAGGGGATGAGCAAAAAACAGCTAGTTTTTCACTCATTTTTGCTCTCCTCAGCCCTAGGAGCATTCTGGAAGCCTTCGAAAGGCTATGCCCGGCCATTTTTGCAAAGGGGGTGGGGTTTCGGGAGGCCAAAAATGCAGTATTCAGTGTATAAGATGCACCCAGATTTTCACCGTCTTTTCTGAGGGAAAAAGGTGCGTCTTATACTCCAAAAAATATGGCAGGTGGAAATGTCTGTGCATCTTATAGAGTGAATGTTGCTGAAGCCCTGCCCACCTGCCGACCCTCACCCTTTGGCCTCTGCCTCCCAGCAATTTGCCTCCTTGCAGCAAACAGGCTGTGCTGAAGTTGACCAGGCTGTTTGCTGCAAGGGGGCAAATTGCTGGGAGGCAAAGCCAGATATTTTTTTCTTGTTTTCCTCCCCAAAAGTTAGGTGCGTCTTATAGTCCGGAGCATCCTATAGTCCAAAAAATACAGTAATCCCTCACTAATTGGTTGCACAGTCCTTTGGCTATTAAACATATTCTGCTCCTTTATGCAACAGTTATACTACTACTACTACTAATTTCCATCCAAGAACCATAGCTACAATTAGATTGCTTAAAAACACCCTTTCCCAACTACGTGTCTTCCAAATGTATTGAACCAACTCTCATTGCATGGCCTGGAGTTGATAACATCTAAATGGAAAAAGCTGCTAGCACCTTACTGAAATCATAGGATTCTTTCTGAGTTGAGTTTAGGCTGATATTATTTATTTATTTGTATCCCACCTTTATTAGTTTTACAAATAATTCAAGGCAGCGAACATGTCACAATACACCTTCCTCCTATTTTTACAACAACACTGTGGCAGTGGTGGCTTCCGGACGGTATGGGTGTACTGATAGTAGCCGGGAGCAGCAGCCACCGTACCAGTATGGTGGCTTGTTTGGCCCACCCGCCCGCCTGCGTTTTATGACCGTTTATAACGTGACCAGCCAATTGTACATGCGTGTACAGCATGTGGCGCCTGTGTGACCACCGCCGAGCAGCTGGGTGTTGCAGAGCGGTGTTGTGTTCATTTATGCACAGCATGCGTGCCCGACCAGAATGCCCGGCCCTGTGTGCAGCGTACCGGTTGTGACGGGATCCAAAACCCACCCCTGCCCTCTGGGCTGGGCTGGGCTGGGCTGGGCTAAGCTAAGCACTATGTAGCCACAGGTATTCAGCAAATTAGATCAGAAAAGTGCTTGGGATAAAGAAAAGAAAAATGAATCAGGTCGTGGAAAATTAACAATATTTATTCACTTAAATATGATGCTACTTTAAGAAAAAGAATATTTCACATTTTAAAAATAACAGAATGTTACATGTGTTAACAGTTGTGAACTTCAGTAGGTATGCATTAACTTCAGTATTCCACTCTGTCTTGTTCCTGCTAAAGAATATGGAGTCCAGATATCCTTTTGCATTTTAAGCAGAGTTCCACAGAGCCAACAAAAGTATTTTGTGTTTGTCCTTTCTAGCTTTCCCTCTGAAGGCAACCAGACAGTACTGAGTCCCAGAGTGACCTGTGGTCCTACGGGGCTTCTCTTATGCCGCCCAGTCATCTTGACTGTTCCACATTGTGCAGAGGTCACTTCCCCAGACTGGATGTTGCAGTTGAAAACCCAGTCCCACCAAGGACACTGGGAGGTAAGCTGAATTAACCAGAGAAGTAGATGATGATGATGATGATGATGATGATGATGATGATATTGGAATGAAGTCCTATAGAAGAAGTTGTAGTGTTCAATGTATGTTGCTTCTCCGAGCAGCATGGTGGTCTAGTGGCGAAGACACTCATCTTCTACTCAGCAGGTTGAGAGTTCAATCCTCAGTAGCAGCAGATATTTATCTCCTAGGACACAAAGAAAAAAATATCTGCTGCAAACTCC